AGAGATGGTTAACCCAAAAATAAAAATATACTTGTTGATTTACTCAGCCTCACGCCAAGATGTAGGTGACTTTTTCTTTAGAACATTAGTTTAGTAGAAGGCATATTTCGCCCAAAAATGAAAATGCTGTCAACATTTACTCACCATTAAATGGTTTACTAGTTTAAGTTTTCCAGTTTACTAGTTTAAGTATAAATTCAAAAAGATTGTATGATATTGATTAATAAAATGCAAGTCAATGGCTACGGCACGTTAAGAAAAAACAGTACCATACAGACTAAACATGGGTAGTATGGTGGCTCAGTGGTTAGCAATGTTGATTTACACAAGAAGGTTGCTGGTTTGAGTTCCAGCTGGCATTTCTGTGTGGAGTTTGCATGTCCTACTTATATTCAAGTGGGCTTCCTCTGGGTTCTCCGGTTTCCCCCACAGTCCAAAGACATGCGCTAAAGGTGAATTGAATAAACTAAATTGTTCGTAGTTGTTGAATGTGTTCGTGAATAAGTGTGTATGGGTGTTTCCCAATACTGGGTTGTGGCTGGAAGGACATCCGCAGCGTTAAACATTATGCTTGAATAGCTGGTTCGTTCTTCTGTGGCGACATCTGAAATAGAAACTAAGCTAAAGGAAAATGAATACAAACAAAACTAAATTTATACCTTTAGCTCAAGATAATAAATTAAAGTCGTATAAAATGAATGTTCAATTAGTGCAAGAACTGAACTTTATTACCTTTTTTTCAGCCTTGGCAAACCGAGTATTCATTTTTTTGGTGGTGTAATTGATCTTAAATCGCACGAAAAATTCACTGTTACTACAACTGTTGCTGAAAACGCTAATTGTACAACCCATAATTATTTTTTGTCTTATTTTCAATAAATGATTTACTCAAAAAAAATTTTAATTATTCAATGGCATATTTTTTAATGGCTGGTTGTCATTACCTATTGGATAAAAAATGTAATTGCTGCCTATAACTTTTATTTTTGAGTGTCGTTAAATGCATATGACGGTGATTTTAAACATCAGTGGTTTTATCTAAACTATAAGTTGTTATGCCAGTACTTCTGTGTTATTTGACTGTTTGTAACTCCATAACTACCTCAAAAGAGATTGAATCTCTTTCTTGATTTTTGCGTTTTCAGATTTGAATGTAGTGACTAAAAGGATTATTAAACATATGCAAATCCCCATCATTTATAATCTGTTGCGTGTTTGTTGATCTTTTAATTTATCATGCAAGTCACACCGAATACATTAATGCAGGCTAAACAATTAGTTACAGCAAACACCTTTAACTTAAGTCATCATTATATTTTACAGGAAAGCCTAAATGCTTTCATACATGTGATTTGAATGACGCGAGAGGCAATCTCTCTGTGGTAGTTACAAATTTAGGATTAATCTACAAGTAAAAACAATTATTAATCCGTGGGCCACTTGTGTTTCGAACCGTGGGTTGTGATCCGTACATATCACGGATCAACTGTGATCTGGTACACCCCTATTTACTACTAGCCTTGACTTACATTTTAATAATCACCAACGAGCTAAATCCTCTTTGCTAGGCTAACAAGAAAAGTCATCCGAACCTTGGATGGGTTGAGGATGAGTAAATTAAGAGCAAATTTAATTTTTGGGGAGAAATAAATATCCCAGTAAAGTGAAGGAGATTAGAACTGTAGGGTGCATACTAGGGCAGGACACGTTTATAATAGCTGCTTTATAATTGCATGTGGCACAAAATTAGCACTTAGCTTTCTAAAATAGCTGATGTGATTTCTCCTGCAGCAGAGTTATCTACAATCGCTCTGTTTGTAGGCGATACCCGGCATAACTGAAGTGTTTCACTGCATTCTTTAGATATTTGCTGCTTTTAATAGAATCAAACAAACAACTGGCATTAGGTTGTTTTTCTGTTAATGTTTTTTTTTTTCATGTGTTTTGTGCACGTAGTCCAACAACCTGGAGAAGAGGCTTGCAAGCAAAGGAATAACTGGAAAATAAATGCCGGTAACAAAGACATACATGCAGGACAACATACAATGGCACTCATATGAGGTTTGTTGGCTATTTTAAAAAGTAATATCATCACAGTTTAAATGGGAATGTTTTTTTTTTTTACATTACATAAGTAGTACATTATTCTGAATACATTCATTTCATGTTTTGTCTGTGTTTTCTTATATATAAAATAATAATAATAATAATAATAATAATAATAATAAAACTTAAAATTTCTAATATTTAATGTAAAAACTACTGTAAAATATTAATCTTGTATAAAAACCTCTATATTTTGTCTAAGTTTTAATGTGTCCTGTTTATTTGTTTTCTAGAACAAAAAATCGACACTTGCTTAGAGTAGTGCAGTATACGATGGATGTTTTAATGGCACAAAACTATTAACCATTAACCAGAGTCATTTAACAGACACTTTTGTCCAAAGAATTGAGTAGGTATTCAGCGATTCAACATGAAGTGCTATTTATTCAAAGTAACTTGTTTGCTCAGAAAATTTTAGTGCTAGAGTAGAAGTTTTCATTATTTTTTTATTTTATTTTTTTACAGAGAGGGAGAGAAGGAAAATTTGCTTCTAGGTTGTTTTGGTATTATTTACCAGGGGTTCTGGTGTTCTCTGAAGAGATGGGTTTTTAGTTGTTGTTTGAAGGAAGCCAGTGTATCCAGAATCCGAGTGGAAATGGGAAGATCATTCCAACAGTGTATAGCAAATTTAAAACATCAAATATATGTATTTAAAACAGATGTAATTCCTACAAACTAATTATGTTGTATCTCAACAGAACAGCAAATCACGGCTGGAGAAATTGTCCAAAGATCTTGAAGAAGAAGTAAGACATATTGTATTATCCATTCATCCAACAAAAGCCCTTAACTCGGAGGCATTCGGAAACAAAGTGCAGGTTTGTCAAATGGTCTCTTTGTTGCTGTTGTTGTAGGTGAATGCGAGACAGGAGGCGGAAGACAACCTGAGATCCCTGGAGAAAGAGAAAGTTTTACTGAAACACCAGCGTACACAGAGCGTAAGAAAAGCTGGTCTAGAGAATAGAATGACATGTTATTTATCAGCCACTTTATCTGTCGTTATCTGTCCTTCCATGAATAATCAGTATTTAGGTATTAAATATTCATGAGCTAAATGTACCTCTTGGGATAGATGATATGCTAAACCATTTCAGATAATAAGCCATTTTTAATGCTTTCCACAATAGACACAAACACAGAATACAACACCACACCCCCGGACAGTAAGCTGATGCTTCATTCTGTTTCTCCAAGCATAAGCTCATGCTCCCTTATTTCATTTGAGCATAAGCCACTTGCACCTCAAATTAAGCAACTAAATGTTGGCATCTCTCATTTGAACTTTTCTTCTGTGTGCAGAAACTATATGCGAATGAAGGAGAGAGCAAGAAAGAGGAGCTGGCCGTGGAGTCGTTATCTGTGGCTGAGAGGTCGCTGTGTATCCCACACAAGGGTCACGAGTTTGTTCTAATGCTTTAACACTTCCCCTAGAGCTGCGAGGTCTGTCCACGACCCCTATGGCACGTCTTTAGACCTCAGCCAGCTATCGAGTGCAGATGCTGCAGAGTCAAGTAGCATAAAGGCCACATCGATCGCAAAGAAGAGGTCCTCGCTGCAGATAGAGGATAGGAGATCACACTCAGAAAGGCACAACAAACTCTTTTTACTTTACTGTAGCTGATTAAACTTAGAATGTTAAAATATTTGTCTGGATGCAAGGCAAAATCTAATATAATTTCATAAATGAATGTTATTAATTAACAATTAAATAAATATAAATGTAAGAAATAATAATTTTTATATATCATTAAAAGTACATATAAACTAATTATAGACAAACAATGCTCAGCATAAATGAGTACACTCCATTTTGAAAATGAATATTTTTATCGATTTCTCAGTGAATATGGGTAATATATAATGGTACATTTCAACAAAACAGATTTAATAGACAGATGTATTTATTAAAATAATATTTTAGTCACAGAATGTCTTTAGAAATGGAAAGATAATACATTTAAAAAAAAACTACAACATTTTACAACAACTACAAACTACGACATTTCAACAAAATTGCATATATTTTTGGTTTCTCTGTATTTTGCTATTTTTGAAAAAATTCCTAACATATAAATTTGTGGTACTAATTTTTGAACCATTGTTGTCAGTTATTTGTTAGATAAGCTCCAGATTTGTCTTCAGTACTGATTAAACTAATGTATATGCACAAATATAATATTGTAAAGCGTCATATAGAAAAAAATGGGGGGGGGGGTATACTCGTATATGCTGAGCACTGTAAGCGGGTATTTATGGATATTAGTCATAACTGAAATATTCTACTTTTATTCTACTGTTATTTTAAGTCTCTTGACGTTAGCAAGGCTGCATGTATATAATCAAATAATATTTATACACATAATAATGTGAATTGCTTCTTTTTTTACAAATTAGTAATTTGCTTATTTTGCATGGGATATAAAATAATATATCATATATTTATATTGATATATTTTATTACTACATGGAAAAAAAAGTATTTGATCAAAAATGTATTAACACCAAACAAATTGTGGCATATTTCAGCCAATAATATTTTAAAATATTTGAATGTATTTTTTTATTTGTGTTAATGTTAATTTACTCCTGTGATGTCAAAACTGAATTGTCAGCATTTGTTTTTTCAATGTTGCATGATCCTTCATTTTATATTTACGTACTTTGTATTTTTCATAAATCAAAATACTACTATGATGTTTATGAAATATTTTATTATCAATGCTGAAAACAGTTGTGCTACTAAATATTCCAGTGGAAACTGTTAGAAGCTTTTTAAAAGACATTAAATAGAGCTGAATTTTACTGGATTTAGATTTTTGTAACATTTTAATGTATTTACTGTCACTTTAGATTGATTTAATTGCTTGCTAAAAAATGCTTGTTATAAAATTGTTGATATAAACTGAAGCTTTTGAAAATGCATATTAACACATGGAATTTTGAACTCTGAAAAGAATCTGTTTTTTGGTTTTTGTCCTCCAGTGAATTACGACATGTCTACAGCGAAAGAGATGCTGCTGCTGGCAAACTCCACAGAGGAGCAGAAGAAGTGGGTCAGTCGGCTGCTCAAGAGGGTTCCGCGTAAACCCTCTATCGCCCACTCGTCCAGCATAGCCATATCCGATGTGCCCTCAGAGGCAACACCCACTGCCCTTTCCCCTCAGCGTCGCCTCGCTCAGTCTTCACCCAGACTTTCACACGAAGCAGCCATCAAAGTGCACTCTACACGACAGCAGCCCTCCAGCAAGAACAGGTGAGGAGGAGACGCTTTCACTCACCCAACTTATTCCAAACATGTGTCTCTCTACTGTTCAACACAAAAGAAGACAGTTTGAAGAATGCTGTAAATTGGTAGCCGTTGGCAGACATAGTAGGGAAAAACAAATACTTTATTAGTAAATGGGTACTTTCTTCAAAATACCTTCTTTTGTGTTTAATAGAAGAAAGATACTGATATAGATTTAAAACTGATATTGACAGAATTTTCATTTTTGAAAAAACTATACCTTTAATGCCCTGATATAAAAGATGTTTTGTTCTTGTTTAGAAGAAAAAATAAGTTCGAAATTCCTGAGCCATTGTTTACTGTTTGTGAACATCTTGACATCATCAACACGCCTCAGTGATGTTTAGATGAATATGTAAATATGTGCTGTGCAATTTTTTTCTAACAGTAATAACTAAATAAACGTTAACAAAAATGACTGTGGTGACAAAACAGCAGTTTTCAGCAATCTAGTCATGTGGAGTCCCATCATGTTTATAGCAGTTTAATCAAATACTTTAAGTATTAAGCTTTTTAAGTATCAAACATGATAAAATCTTCTCCTAATAAAATTACTCTTCCACTGTAAAGCAGCTCTTTTAGTCTGAAAAATAAAGCTTCTATATTGGCATAGACGGTTCCATGAACAGCTTTTAATATCCATTCCATAAAGGTTTCATTACAGTGAAAAAATATAATTGATAATCTTAAATATCATTGAATATCTTGAATTCTCGCTGAGAAAAGCGTTAATTAAACTAAAAGGTTCTTTGGGGAACCAACAATGGTTAATTTTTAATGCAAAATCTGTGCAAAACTTTTTAGAACCTTTATTTTGAATTTGTTGGATAGTATTGGCCTCAATACACTTAGCAGAACAAATGAGCTGAAGAAGATTAACCTGTTAAAAAAGGCGGAGCTCTAAAGCACCACCTTCGTAAAATGGGACCAGGCAATGACAGTTTAAAGGTTTTTACCAACGGATGCAAACTTTTGCTCAAAATGACAACATCAATTTCTGTTGATGTATACTGGGGCCTTTAGGTTATAATGAAATATAGTATAATTGGAGGATATAGTTAAAAGACTTCATCTAAAGCAATGTTTGAAATCTATTACTAGCACTTGATGTTTTATTGGATAAAAAGAGAAATAGCTTAATTTATTCATCATTTGCCATTCAGCTCTTTGCCATTACCTCATTTTGTGTGCCAAATATATTCCATTTCATTCTAAAACATGTTTATTTGTAGTTCTACAATAGTAATGAAAAAGGATTATAATTTAACAGTTTAAAACATTTGAATGTTTATCGTGCTTTATTAGTTACAATTTGCATGACTCAGCATTTTAACCAATTGCAAAAATGATGCAAAAAAACTTTCTGATCAACCGCTGAAATAAGCATTTGTTTTGTTAAATATAAAAATAATTATCATTAATTGAAAACATTCTACTTATGTAATGCTAAAAACTTTCTTTTCTTTTTTTCATTAGTCAAAGCTCTTCCATGAAAAATTAAATGCCTAATTCATGCCAATTCATGTAAAGTCCCTTTCTGAACAATAAATCTTTTTTACTTTTCTGCATAGTGCATGCACTTCTGTCTGAACTCTTCTGCTCAGCTTTAAACAAAAAAAGTGTATCACTGCACTGTTATTATTGTTGCTCTGATTAATTGCTCATATATAGATACATATCTCAAAATAAGAGAAAAGTTCATCCAAAAATGTACTTGTATAGACAGCTCACTGTAATGTTGTGCAAGGAGTTGTGGTCACTTTAAAAAACAAACACCTCACTAAACATAAAGAAAGTCAGCAAATCAATTTGGCATTGTCATTTTTGGGTGAACTACTGCTTTTAATTGAGGTAAACATAGTGTAGTGTCATGTTTGTAGACTTGGCTGTAAAGATCTCAATAGCTTACAATGATACCGCTAACCTTTTGTAGCCCTGGCCCAATGCTTCGTATCATTCTTCACTGACCTTTCACCTTCACTACTGGTGTAAATGTGTGGACAGTAAGTACAGTGCACTGCATCTCTTTTCTGCTCATCTTCACATGTTTGGCTGCTTGTTCTCTTCTCTGTTTGCATCTGAATCCTTAGTACTAAAAAACATTCCACTAACAATGCAGGCTTTCTCTTTTAATTCCATAATATTGCCATCGAATCCTATCTAAGCTGTGAATATTATATTTTATTTTATATTATATTATTTTCAACCAAGTAAACGGAGCTTGTTTCTACACATGAGGCTTGTTTTCTATAAATTAGGATGTAGTGTTTTTTTTTTACCACAATCTGTTAAAAGATCCAGTAATAGTTGATGTTCTGAAATAATCTTTATTCTTTGCCTTTTTTCTTAGATTTTCCTACCTTTTAATTTTATTCGCCCTTTTGTGTGTTTTTTTTATCTCACTTTTTCAATAAGAAATCATTTTTGAATTTTTTTTGGCAAATAGCCTTCCTACTATATCAGTTTACTTTATATAACAAACATATGTACAGGGTAGGGCTGGGCGATAATTCGATATCGATAATTATCCAATATATACAATTTTTCAATAAAACGATAATGACAGTTCGATAATTGCTCGATAATATTTACGCACTATGCGTAACGTTGCGCAAGCATTTTGCAGCCTGCCCTGCCAGATGCCGCACGGCCCGCACGCCGTACAAGTTTACAGCCATACAGTGTTAATTGCACTTAAATGAGTAAGAAAGAAATAAGGTAAAAAAGGTCAGAATCACAGACACTGTTGACAAGAAATGTCACTAGACTTCATGAGCTACTTCGTTTTTTGCTATCCGATGCAAAACAGAGCAACGTGCACTGCAAACTGAGCAGACGAATTGTGTCATCAAAAGCAGGCAACACCATGACCTTTTTCACCATGTAAAACAAGACCACCCTTATGAAGATGCTAAGAAATTACAGACCTAAACTAGTGTTAGTAAACCAATGCAGCTACCCAGCAGAGTCTCATGTCATCCTTTTCGAAAGCCGTGTCTTACGAGAGACCTCCATCTCCTCTCTCTTAATTTCAGCTAACCTTGGTGAAGGCCGGATAGGTGATCATCCATCTGGGGTCTATGAAAGCGGAAAATGTCATAGTGTTCGTTTGGGCAAATGGCAGGACATCCAAGTGCCAAACACCACAATATAAATGACTGGGGAAGGGGACGGTACAGTATATGATATTTAAATACAGCACAAGCCATAAATCACCTAAAGTATCTAGTTTTAATTTTAAGAGTAGAGTGTTTGTGTCTTCCTATACTATACAGTTTGTCAAAAAGTGTCTTCTAAGCCAGAGGTTAGAGGTCAGAGGTTATTTTCGGACTCCTTATAGGGTTGTTAGTAAGTGTGACTGGATGTTTAAGTGTGTTTCCAAGAGCAAATGAATGATAATTACGTGATCATCAGAATTTATATACTCAAGTATTATATCTATTTTTGTTCAGAAAAACAAATATTTAGTGGCACAGATTATATTTTTGTCATCTGTTATTTTGAAGAACACCTTCAATAAGCATTACGTCTGCTCTATGCATTATTGAAGACTGATATCATGATGCAAATATGCACATTTTATTTAATGCTGTGACAAATTTGTATGCATAGTGCAGACTGATGGAACATGGTGTTGGAGGAAAAATGGGTGGGAGAAAAACTGAATGATAGGATATTATGTATAATTGCTGACTGATGGATGCGCTCCGTATGAAAAACTGATCCCAGCTCAGCTTCTGTATACGCCATTTAAAGAGGAGCTAAACTGCCGGACGTTTTGGGATTTTGGTGTGTGTTTAAACAGACAAACACACTTAATATGTAAACATGTTTATTCTGCGTGTTTTATTGTCAACACGACTAATTTTCTCTTAAATGAGCACAAACAGTTACTAAAGTAATGGAATGCTTTCATTATAGATTTGTGCATTCTTACAGTGACACCACTGTTATAAAACAAAACAAAATGAGAGATTCATTTTCTTTTTACTTAATAGCTATGGTAACTTTAATCAATAACAGAGTGTGTTAGTGGAACAACAGTTTTGCGAGGGAACACACAATACCTTTGCGAGGGAAAAACTTTTCAAAATTATATTTTCCTATCACTGTCCTTTTTTTTCTCCCACCCATTTTTCCCCACCATCACGTCCCTTCTAGGTCTCTGTATAATCGTGATTACTTAATAAAATGAAGCTTTTTTTATTGTGATGTTTTTAGAGGGGGCAATAAAAATGCTATTTTAAATGTAAAATGTAACGTATGCTGATATTATTTTCACTTGTCATGGATAAAAAAAAACATCTTATGATTTGTTGTGAATGACTTACAAGAATTTAATGATAAAAGTCCAGTGTTACACAAAACTTTGATGCACATGTGGACCTGGAAAACCCTTGTTTGCATATTGACAAATGTATTCAATGTGATTTATTAAAGCAGGATCAGTTACACATGCTAAATATAAGGCTGAGGCATCAAGCGATTGAGGTTTTAACTAGAATCCATACATTTGTACTTCTGTTGCATCTTGCTCATAGATATGAGCAAATATTATTTTTTAACTCTTACAGTTCTGCTCAGCCTTTTTTCTCAGATACAGAATGGCATTTTACATCAAGGAAAATGCAGACAACTCCTTGAAAATGATAAGGTCATAGTCATTTGTCTTCATGTTAACTTAAAACAGCTACCCAGTAAAGTTTTTCCAGGAAACACCACAGACCTTCGTGTTCATTTCAGTAATTTGAGCTCCATATCATCTGATGACCTGAAGATCTTCTCCCATCTACGGTATCTCAGTCTGACCAGAAACCAACTGCAAACATTGCCTGCGGATCTGTTTGTGGGCCTGTCTAATCTTTATGTGCTTGACCTTACAGGTTATGTGTCTTACAAAACTATGGTTACTTACTACACGTTTAGTAGAATAAGATGGAAGACAATGTTACAGGTTTTCACCTTTGTTCAAAATATCTTCTATACTGTTAGATTTGAAAGCATTTGGGGGTGAGTAAATTTTCCTTTTTTGTGAACTGTCCCTTTATGTAACACCAATGCAAGGTAAGGGAAAAAAGTGTAATTGATTGCAAAAAAAATATACACTTAAATAAAGTACATTTTAAGTAAAATCTTATTTTTTGTACTGAATGAAATTGGCATCTATCTATCTATCTATCTATCTATCTATCTATCTATCTATCTATCTATCGCTTTGTTTAAGGAAAAACTGTAAATGGCAATAGTTAGCCAAAAGAAAGGTTCTTTAATCACCTTGTTTATTTATAGTATTATGCATTACGAACACCAATTATGCAACACCAATTTTTGCTTAGGTTTTTCATCTGTTAGGTAACAAACTGAAAGCTTTACATTGGCGAGTGTTTGGTAATTCTCCTCTTGTGGAGCTTACTCTGGCGGATAACCTGCTCTCCTAGCTCCACGCAGACTGTCTGCCGGTAAACAGCTCTCTTCAGCGGCTGGACTTGGCTAACAGGTTCACCAGGTTACCTGTGGCATTTCTACAAAGACTCGGCAATCTCCAGAGTTTAGACTTTAAAAATATCCAGCTGGAGGAACTGACTCCTGGAGCTCTGGTGTCTTTGTGAAAACTCGAGGCCCTTTACCTAGCGGCGCAAAAAAGGGGTATGCATGCAGTATGTGCGGCGCATAGAGGTACCAGGGCGCCACACATGGGGGGGCGCCATTGTGCCAAAACTATTTTTGAAACTAAACATATTATTATACATATTAAACAAAATAAATACATATGTTTGGTTAAAAATGTTTATCCTGCATTTTATATAAATATATAATTTAGTTTTTTATTGAATAAAAATATATACCACCCCTCCCTCTTCATTGACCATTTGATTGATCCGTTGCTCGGTTACAGTCACGTTCAAAATGGAGAGAAGAGTAAAGAGACGTGGAGCGCAAAATAGAAAACAAAAAGAAAACAAACAATGCCTTAAAATGAAAACTGCCATGACAAATTGGATAATAAGGAATTGGTGAGCTTAACCCACACTATTATTACCATACTTTTAATCAACTTCTGTTTTTGGGAGCGACTGCCATATCATTAATTATTCATTATCGCCACTCAGTCACTGCATGCATGGGCTGGTTTTGTCCAGGCAGGAGGACAGTGACGCACGGCCACACCTAAATTGCTTCCGAAATCGCATATTTGCATCCTGTATAGTATTCAAAAAACACTATAATTCTATAGGCTAAAGCCATGATGAGCTGGTGTAAAGTAAACTTTATGGTAAAAGCTTTCGATAGTCGTAAATTTATGGACCGTCAGCTTCAAAAGACAACATTTTTATTCACTGCATTTAAATATTGATTACAGTTACTATAGTTATTTACTAAAGAGCAACAAATGAATTTAGTTTGATCCTCTGTTTTGTTTGATAACAGAGGTGCAAGTCTGACTTCAAGGGCCCTATCATACACCCGGCCCTGTGTGGCGCAAGGCGCGGTGCAATAATCTTTTGGTAGTTTCAGCTTGGCGCAAGAGTCGTTTTGAGGCGTTGTGCTACGCTGTTTAAATAGCAAATGCATTAGCGCTCATTTGTGCACCCATAGGCATTCTGGTCTAAAAAGGGAGGTGTTCTGAGGCGCACTGCTGGCACGTTGCTATTTTAAGAAACTATAATAGATTTTTCATTAGACCAAAACAAACCCGGTCTAAACTACGCCGCAGAGTTGCGCCTTGCTTACGCACTGCTTAATACGTACAAGAGAGCAATAGGCAAATATCTTTACATATGAAAAAATTTAAATATTAAGGATGTATATAGGATATAATAAGAATAGATATAGGATATAAATATAAAGGATTAAAATATTAAAAAACGTATTATTTTCTAGCCTACATAAATATGAAAAATCACTGCTTTTATGTCTTCTTCATCTCGGGAGGCTTTTTCAGTTCATTCATAACAATTTGCTTGTGTATAATGTTATTATTATTATTAGCAGTATTATTTATTATATGTATATTTATATTTGTTTTATCAAAAACAAGCTTAGTTTTGCCCACCTATCAGGTTTTAGACCATATGGGGCACAGCATGTGTTTTAGGATATAACTCAGGTTTTTGAGCACATTTTGTTGTTATTCATTTATTCGTTTGCTGGAAATTAGAACTGAATTTAGAAATAGTTTTGAAACGAATATTTGCGCTTAACAAACAAAATTATTTATTTATGGACTAATTGATGTCTGTGCGAAAAGGTTTCCCTATCCAAGAGCGAATGTGAAAGTAGTTCCATTATCTCTCATTCTCAGTAGATGCTCTGTTTAACAGTTTTCTGTTAAAAAAAACTGTTAACTGTTTGCTATTGAAATGCTCATTTTTCCCACTTAGACTTACTTTGCGTCCTGTAAATAGCGAATGCGCTCTTGGCGCGACTCAGCTGGCCCTTAAAGGGAATGGGAGATGAGACTCAAATTGGTTTATTCTCAAAACACACCTATAACTCATTAAGAAAATAAAACTCAACCCTTTTTGACCATGTGCCATGGCGCAAAGCAGGTTTTTCCGTCCTTATATTAGCAAAAACGCGTTCTGACACGCCCTGAAAGCGTTTGCGCCCTGCGTTTTGCGCTCTGCGCATGGACCGTAAAATAGAGCCCTAAGAATCAATTATAATGATTCTTAACCCTGTTAAAACTGACACTAACAAATAGTCAGAATATTCACATTTTTTGGAACTTTAATGTTTATTAATTCTATCAAGATCCATTTTTATACCATGTTTTTTATAAATTAATTATGTATCATATTGATACATCAGGCCTTTTGGTAACTTTTTCTGCTCAAAACTAGTTCAATTAAGTTCCCAAAAAGTTTGCCTGTAACATTTTGATCAAATAAAACATTTCAGGCAGTTTGTCTCTGTTTTTTAACTAAACATTGTACAGTCTTTTTTATTTCACTTTGTAAAAGGTGTGATAGCAGTTTCAGTCAATTGTTCATGCGAAGACAGACCTTACACCTCTCACATGCATGTGAGAAGTCATTGCATTTTTAATTTCTTTTGCCCTTTAGGACTCCCATATCTATCATTTTGTTTTGACAAATGTACAAAAAGAACCAAAACAAGGTGCTATAATCATATGGTGAGAAAAATGGAATTAAGAAGAAATTTGGGTTGGGATGAGATGTAATTTTTTGTGACTTAACATGCTTAATGTAATTACACTTTTACTACTTCATACTATTTCAGTTGCGTTCAGAATCATTTATGAACAAATACAGTTTTTACAGATTAAATCCACTAATTTATTTTAATATTTGCATAATAAAAATAATATTCACTATATAGGTCAATTGCTTTTTAGCTTATCATAGCAAATGCTAGCAATTAAATAGCACTATTAGCCTAAAGTTGCACACGATCTAAACTTAATTGAACTCAGAGTTGCAAATCTGGCCTAAATAATATTTCAATTCGTAATGAATCTGTTTAGCTGTAATTTTGATTGTATTGCAGCTAAAGTATTTTGGATAGTATAGACATTAGGCATATAGATGTTTTAGATGTTTAAGAACATTGATATTACATCTTGTCAATGTCTTTATATTATAGATAAATTAAAAGCATAATAATCATGTTTTCTTTTAGCAAATCAACATTTTTATTTTGCTTTACAACAAATGTGGTTAAACGTTGCAAAACCAAGGTTAATTTGTGGCCGCCATAGTTTTCTGGTTTTATTTCTAATAAAACTTCATAATGTAAATTTTTATAAGGGCAATATATTCATTTGTACATTTGATTTGTTGTATTTGGCTAATGTGTTCTGTTCTGGCTATCAAACATTTAGTTTTAAAGCATAAAAACCACAATCACATAACACCCTATTTCAAGCCTGATAGCGACATGTGGAATAAATTACCATCTTGTTTGGTCTCTCCAGCC